AGGTGCGCTAATGCCTGAGGAAAACATCCTGAGCTATTAAGTCACAAAAGACCTTCGGAGGGAGAGATACAATTGGCACACAAATCAGTGATCCTTTTAGAGAACAATCACCTGAGTTGAATGTATCACCTGAGTTGAATGTATACGAGTCACGAGGTTAGGCTTTATTGCCTACGTGCAGGAATGTATGAGCTAATGGGTTAAAATCATATAAAAGAACCACCTGAAATAAACTCGTCGTCCACTCTTGACCTAGCGTCTTGTGGGCTAGAGTGAGACCCTCTCAACCCCAACTTGTCTTACGTCTTTCCTTTTCTCAGTCCTGCAGCACAGGTTTCTGGACCTGATCGATTGTCGGCTGGCTCCGACAATTTTGGATACATTGGGTTAAATAAATTGCATTATTGAAATTAATTTCACATTTCTTTATACTTTTTCAAATGTGGCTACTAGAAAATCTTAAGCTATGTAGGTGGCTTGTGTTAGATTTCTCTTGGACAGCACTACTCTACACTGCACATTAGCGACAGTTAATAGTAAGATTTCATACCTTTATGAAATGACAGTCATAAGTCAGGAGTGATACAAGCTTAAAATATAACTTATTTGGTAGCTAAGTAGATTTTATTTTTCAACATTTGTCAACTAACGCATTTTTTAAGAAGATAAAATTCATATTAAATCCTACCTTCAGGAATGAACTTTCTAGAGTTAAGATGAAAATACAACAAGAGTGTCTACAATATTCCAAGAAAATATATGCATTTTCAACTTTATTCCCAAAGAGAGGAATTTAATACGAGTTTTGTAGACTGTAGAAAGAAGTATTAAAGAGATAATAAAAGATCAAGGGACAAGCAGGGTTTTGGAAGGAGGGGTTTTTATGTTCAGCTTTATCAAAATTTTTTCTACCTTTGTTTTTTAATCTGTTTTTACATTTGGGGCTTGAAAAAACAGGAAAGAGGCAAAAAAGTACCGCTAGCAATGTCAAGGAGGGTTTCTGTAAGGACATGTGGTTCTCAGGATAACAGAAAGGGCCCCTCCTGCTCTGTTGACTATAAAGTCCGCAAACCCGCAGCTGAAACGCCTTCCTTCCTGCTGTGGCCTCCAGGGCCGAGTACTTGCTGCCTGTGTCCTGCTCTCAAGTGGACTCTGCATTTTATTGTGGTTTAGAAGCCATTTCCCTTTTCACCACAATGTTTCAAAAAACCTATTTCCCTAGAAACTCCCACCTGTTACTTCATCATGTTAACTGATTCCAGGCGCTGAGACGAAGGTGGCTTGGAAGACAGGAGAATCAAAGGAAGAAAGAAACCATAGCAGAATCCTCACCTTGTGCTCGGCAGATGTCCCATGGACATAGTGGTGAGCGCCTAGGCCTTGTGAGGTACCCATGCCTCCTTTCACCGTATTTACCCAGGAACTATCTTCTGTGGTGGGGACCTGGCTCCCTGCAACCAAGGTAAGGCCTGAAGTGTTGATTGTCAGTGTTCGCTCAATGGATCTGAAATAGTTCAGAATTCCTAAGCAGATGCGCTGAAACAAAGAAAGAACAGGGTCAAGACCCAGCCCTTTGCTAATCCACCACACAGAGTAAAAATTACGGGGGCTCCAGAGGCTGCAGGTCAGCTCCACTGCTGGGAAGGAAGCACAGCACCTCCAGAAGGTCTGCCTTCAAGGGAAAATCAACACAAAGAGCAAAGTGTGAAAATGCATCACTGCTGGAGTCTCAGGAAAGACCCCCTTTCAGACAACCAAACAATTCAGGTTTGTGCTGGGCCATCCTCATACCTGCAGCTCCCTGATCCGCAGGTGGCGCAGATACAGAAAGGACAAGTAGGTCCCTCTCGCCAGGACAGGGTCCCCGCCACCGGGCCCAGGCCGGTCGTCCAAGCCCAGCAGTTGTAGCGCCACTGCGCAGCTGTACCTTCAGCGGGCCAGAAAAACAGAACAAACACCTTTTGCTTCAAAGTGATTCAGAAAATTCATATATACCACACCGAAGTCGTTTTCTTTAACTTCAGGGAGTTTTGTAATAGCTACTCTTTTAAAATACACTGGAACGAAAATAATGACTCTCTATGTACAAACAGAAAAAGAAATTTCTCTGAGCAATCACTCTCATTAAAAACCCAGGCCTAGAGGTTTTAGTTACCTGAACTGCTGTAACAATCTTGCTTTTACTTCAGCTTCATTTTTGATGTTTAACATGTAACCTATACATTAATCAATCACTCAATTTTCCCCACAGTGTTTAATCCATTTCCTTGAGTCGCCAGTAAAATGAGTTAATTTTACCCTGTCTCTCTCTTCTGTTTGACAGGCTCATCAGCACAGTGGCTAAGATTTATTTGTGCCGGGTCATTTTCATTTCCTTCCACTGAAGGGTCATCTTCCTTCATATTTTCATTCTAGCGAAAAAGTAGCATTAGTAGGATTACATGAACATTTGCAGTATTATTAACAAAATCATAGTCAGGTCATTACAAAATTAAATCTCATGATCCAAGGCACATTTAGATGAACAAGTAGAAGAGCATCTTGATCCATTTGAACCTGATGTGTGAAAACCTGAATTTCTAAAATGAATTAAAGGTCACTGTTTTTACTATTATTTAGTCTTTGTTTTACAAAACTATTCAGAACTTTTAAATACCAGCCATTACCACCCCGCCTCCCCTTTTACATGATCCATTCTATGAAAAGTTGATACATACATTTGTAGATGTTTGGAACCTTGAAACTCTCACATCTAGTCTTGTCCCAGGCTGAGAGAGATCAGTGGATTAAATGCCTTTTTCTACTTTTTAGCAATATAATTTAATCATTTAAAGTCTTAATCCTGTTTTCATATTTATAAAATAGTGTGAAATAGGGAAATAAGCTGTCGTGAGAATTAAATGATAAAATGTGTATAAAGCTCTGTGGCTGGCACCTCATAGGTGCTCAGCACATGCTAGTTCTCTCCTGGCCAGGGATGGTAGTCATCAGTCAGGATGTAGGATCTATCACAAAATTCATGTTTTATGCTAATTTCCTCAGTTATCTTTCCTAACATGGAGAAGGATGAGGTCATGCACCCAGGGCCCTAAGGAAAACTGTGAAGAAGGTGATAAGGATGTCTGGTCCTGCCCCCACCCTCTGGGCAGCCCCTTTTTCGGTCACCCTCTCTGCCCATCCCTGGGCATACAACCCATTTCCATAAGATGTGCTCTTTCTTAGTGGCACTGATCCCCATGGAAATACTGAGTGTCAATGGCTTAGCTGGGTTACTTGTGTTTAACAGCAGTTCTCAGAATTCCAACAAATCCTTATGGCAGAAACTGTTGGTTATTCTCCCATATTCATTTTCCTCTTTTCCCACAGTACTTGAATATTTATCCTGGCACATGACCACCCAGATAAAGATTACATGTCCCAGCCTCTCTTGTAGCTAGGTGGAGCTATATGACTAATGGCCAATGGAATTGAAGTGAAATGCCATGTAGCAGCTTCCAGGAATTGCCCTGAAGTGGCAGCTTCTCCTTCCCCTTCCCCATCTTCCATCCTGCTGCCTAATGAATGTGTCAGCTGGAACTCCACCTCAGACCAGGTGTTGACCTCAGGTACGGAAGCCACATTTGTTGGAACTTCAGGATGGAAGCAGTGTGGGTACCTGAAGATTCCGTGAAGCAGAGTCATCCCACCAGCTCTGTACTTCCTACCCTGGATGTTAGTATGAGGGAGAAAGAGAAATTTCCATCTCCTTTAATCCTCTGTTATTTTGTGTTTAACCATGACCAACAACCAAACCTAATCTTAACTAACAAAGTTCCCAAGACTAAAGAGAGACTACCAGCTTTTATGACAGGCAGTGGGGAAGAAAAATTTGGACAGGGATATTAGAAAGAGTAGGGAAGAGAGAAAGTTGTCTAACTGGGTATCATTAAGTGGCTTCCCATTCTGCCTGTGGGCAGAGGTAGCTCCTTTCTGTTCTGGGTGAGTATGTACATCAGCATATTTCTGTGTAAACAACCCACAGACTGGAAAAGACCCTAGGAGGTGATGTGGTGCAGTCCTGTTCCTTAATACAGAAACACCAGATCATTATTCCAAAGTAAAGAGAATCTGTTATTTAAAAAAAAATCTATAGGAAAGTATATACCCCAAGAGGGGAGCTGAATTTTGGTAATTTCTATTTGACCCAGAATTTGGGGTGAGAGGGGCTCTACTGAAGCCTTTTGCCTCCTGGGCTTACAGCGCTTTTGTGTTGCAGTTTAGCAGTGCCCGATGTGGCTCCAGAGGGCAGGCTCAGAGCCACAGCTTTTCTCTGACGGGATTGTGACTTTTTCAGCTGCTTCTTAAATTACCCAGAATTACATAGGAAGGAATAGAAAGTGATGTTAAGTTACAGTGAAAGACACTTTAAAGGAATGACTGAACAAACCACAAAAATATTGTTGGACCAGCAGATTGCCAGGAAGAGAGGAAGGGGGCACAGCAGGTTAGGGTGAGTCAAGGAAGAGAGCCCAGCATCCTCCGGGAAACCTGAACCAACCACAGCCCACAGAAGCAAACTGCTTGGGAAACACCAAGAGTCCATGAGTGTATTCCCCTAAGAGAGCCAGACACAGTGCAGGTAAGCCAAGGACTGACAAGAAACCAGAGTGTCAACACCACCTGTGTTCATTCTCTCTTCCTAGGTAAGTAAATCCTTTGACATTTATTCTACTTTGTGGCTGATTCTCTGCAGAATGGCTGAGTTCATGCATTTTGACAGTTCTGAGATTTCCACTGATTGCAAATCTCATTTTCTTATGGAAAATTGACAGGGGCAGTGGAGTGGGAGGTAGGGTGGAGGGAATAATTAGAGGAAGAGTAAGCCTATTATGTATTCCCCATCCCCCTAAATGTCTCTACAGCATACTGGTGTATATCCACAGAATAAAAAGACTAGAAGGATATATGTTAACAATACTGTTGTTACATCTGGGTGATAGAATAATGGGTGATTTTAATATTCTCCCTTGAACTTTTCTCTATTTCCCAAATTTTCTGATAAATACATGTTATTATGGTTATCAGAAGATGTTTGGTTTTTAAATGTTCTATTGAATTTGATGAGGAAAACCAGGAAAAAGCTGTTTCATGTTTCTGGAACTTCTTGCACACTGGCGCTACCACATCCAACACCACTTCTGTGAGAGCACACCATGTATTCACTATATTGCACTATCTCTGGGTGGAGGGAGCAGTCACATAGACATAGGGTGTCCCCGTCTTCCATCCTTGATGTGACCAGTGAAGCAGAAGCAGAAGTAGAGACAAAGGATATAGTGTTTTCTGCCACTTCACCACTCCAAAGTTAAAAAACGGTGATCAATTTAAGCCACATCTTTAGAAATATGATGATTTTTACTGTCCATACATAGCTATTTTCATAAACAGGTGTTTTCTTAGAGAATGGCATTGGAGACAATAACAGGTTCGGGAGGATCCACACAGGGCTAGCTGGTCCTTCTGATTGGGAATACAGTTAAATTATTTTTACGTTTTTTTAAAAGAATATCCAAAAACGCAATCCATCTGGATCAGAATTATCTCTTTCAAGTTATACATTGTAGTCAATTAATAATTATAAGAAAATGAGGTATGTTTTTCTTTATCCCCCAAACCCAGATCTTTGAGTTAATCTGGAGTTAGAACTGTGTTTAAAGGAAAGAGTGGCCAGCCTTCAATGCTAATGATAAATAAAAGGCCAATTCAAACTATGATAGAAACATTACAGACATTATCAATGTTGAGACAAACATATTCAGTATTAAAATGGATGTGGGAAAACAGGTTCTCTCATAAGTTTCTGGATAAGAAAAAATGCTATTACCACTTTGACAGAATCTATGAAAAATTTAAAGTGCACATTCTATGATTCGGAAAATCCACTTCTAAATATCTACACTAAAGAAACACACCTATGTAGAAGAAGGCATATACAAGAAAGTTCAGTAACCATGGTTTCTAATGGGGGAAAAAATGGCAACAAACATCCACAAAGGGGTGGCTGTGTGACCTGTAGTACACGATAAATAACACAGCCACTGAAAAGGACAGCTGAGACAGATCTCTAAGACATATTTGCTGGGTGAAAAACGCAAGTTGCAGGAAGATATCCATAGGATATGACAGATGGTTCATATAGAAAACTAAAATGCAAAATTATACTATGTATATACAAATTATTTTTAATGCGGACACATGTATGGATGTCAATGCATTGAAATGGCTTGAAGCAATAACAGTGCTTACCTCTGAGGTAGTGGAATGGAGGGGACCAGTATTAGAGTCTCCATTAGTTCAAGTTAAAGCATTAATATCTAGTTATTACTTCCGTAGCTTAAAATTAATCTTTTATAAAGCTCCTTACAGAGAAAAATGGTATCTTTACAGTGGAGAAACTCGGCAAACACCACTAGCTTAACCACATGATCAAGATTAACATCCCCGGTGTCGTCATGTTGGGAGCATCTGCCCCTGATCTGATGTGACAAGAAGAGCACTTTACCTCTGGGGTGCTCTTACCCCAAACCTATCACCCCAGTGTAACCACTGGAAAAACATCAAAGTCAGATTAGGAAATGTTCTATAGGTTACTCCTAGAGACTGCCAAGGTCACAATAAACAAGGAAAGACTAAGAAACTGGCACAGACCCAAGGAGTCTAGGGAGACGTGACAATTAAATAGTGTGGTACCCTGGGAATGCTTTGTACTGGGAACTCTCTATACTATCTTTGCAACTTTTCTGTAAATCTAAAACTATTCAAAAATAAAACATATAGTTTTTTAAAAAAACTCCCTAAAGAAAGGTTGCTAGTGCATAGTATTCATTAAGAATTGATCAGAAACTGTTCTGAAGTTGCATTACAGTTAGTTCTTGCATTCTCTCAGGGCTGTCAAAATGAACAGTCCTCTGAGGTTTGTTTTCCTTCATGCGAAGGCCCTTAAGAAAGCTCTTTTTCATAGGATATGGGTTGTCAACTTCAGAATCAGGATGCTGACCGACATACACATGCTAAAATTCGTACTTGAATGCTATGTGCTTGCAAAATAGTTACCGAGCTTTAAAATTCATACCCACATTCCTGTGACTCCTTCCAGTTGCTACATTTTACTTAATCTTAATCTCATCTGACCAGTATTCAACATCCAGAATGTCAACACACTACCATTGGTGCCCTGGAGGAATAACACTCACAGGAAAATGTGAAAGAAGGTGGAAAACTATTGGTTGTTGCCTCAGGATTTCCTTCCTTAAACCCTGTGCTATTTTCTGTTCCCTCCTTGGAAAGCTCTCCTCCAGCCTGTTTGCACGGCTGATGCCCTCTCATTCATCAAATTTCAGCTCAGATGCCCCTTACTCTGAAAGATCATGGCTGGTCTCTCTACCAGAGGGTGCTCCTCCCACCCCACTGCCTTCTGCTCCTTAGTTTTCCTCACAGCACCTGCACATTAGAGATGTAGGTTTACTTCTTTATTCACGAGTTTATTGCATGTTTCCTTCCCCAAGCCCAGCACAATTCCTGGCACAAAGACAGCACCCACGCAATAATCACTGAATGAATGGATGGGAAACTGGAAAACTTGTATGACATTAATGTGTTTGGTAATTGGTAATTTGTGTGTGTTAAATACACCCCACCCCATGCTCCACCTCTAGAATCTGTAGGTATTCTAAGTCTTTTTAGAGTCTATTTGTCATAAATCAGCTTGAAAATACAGTGCTCACATTTTCTCCCTTTGGTCAATTCCAAGAACAACATTTACAAGTCAGTATCTAGCCAGAGTAAGTGGTTTTATTTCTTTCTTTTCTTTTCTTTTTTTTAAATGTCTTTTTAGACACCTGCACCCCAATGTTCATAGCAGCACTATTTACAATAGCCAAGACATGGAAACAGCCTAAATGCCCATCAACAGATGACTGGATAAAGAAGATGTGGTATATTTATACAATGGAATACTATTCAGCCATAAAAACCAACAACATAACACCATTTGCAGCAACATGGATGTTCCTGGAGAATGTCATTCTAAGTGAAGTAAACCAGAAAGAGTAAGAAAAATACCATATGAGATCGCTCATATGTGGAATCTAAAAAAAAAAGAACATAAATACAAAACAGAAACAGACTCATAGACATAGAATACAAACTCGTGGTTGTCAAGGGTAGGGGTGGGAAGGGACAGACTGGGAGTTCAAAATTTGTAGATACTGACAGGTATATATAGAATAGATAAACAAGATTATACTGTATAGCACAGGG